AAAAACCCCAACTGTGTAAAAACTCCAGGACTAAGCAAGTTACCTCCATTATAAGCAATAAGCCTTATAGTTAGATGCTGTTTAACCAATTCCACTAAACTTCCAATCTACCTCCTGTAATCTCCAAGATACAACTGTCTCCTGTAGCTTCTCGATCTTGTACAATTGTCTATTTCAAGTGGAATTTCAAGAATCACCAATTCTTATGCTTTTCCTGTGCTTGCAGTCTATATCTTCCAATGTCCAACTGAGAGAGTCCTTTCCTTAAAAGTGTTAAGGAAGCAAGATGTTTTGGATTCAAGGGTTTGATGTTTTCCTTCAAAATGTGGTTGCAGGATCTCAATAATCAAAGGATTGAATCAAGGGTTGAATATATTCTTGGATCTTAAAGGATTGATATGAATATGATATGTATGTGAGGCACAATGAACAACCACACTTTTCATTGTTCATAGGTAGGATATTTATAGGAAAAATGTTTGGGATGAAAAAGGGATTGAAAAACCAAGTGTTTGAAGCAAAATAGAACTCTGATCGTCGATCTATAGCTCGAGCGAGGAGCTAGCGATAGGCGAGTGATAGCTGAGCAGTTGTCAATATTTTTATCATAACTTTTTCTTCCGTTCTACGATTGAAGTGATTCAAAATGCGTTAGAAAGCTAACTTAAAGGGATACAATTTGTCTTGAAATAGCCTTGTCCATATTCCAATGTTTTCTATGTGAAAAATGTGTTGTGTGTGAGAATTTAGAAAATAACTTGTGGGGCTCGTGGATATCCTTTAGACTTCTAATTATATTCCAATGATCATATGTGATCTTTCTAGACATCTTGGACTCTTTCAAGGACTATACTACTAACTCCAACTCTTTTACTTTAATTAAGATTCAATAATTTAACTTTGATTACAACATCTAAGCGGACTCCTTGACTTTTACAAATCTTTTATATTATTTTTTTTGTCTAAAGAATTGCCAATACAATAGAAACCTAATGAACTCCACTTTTGGCATTCTGTGACAAAACTATAGAATAAAGTCAAGGAAATAAAAGTACAAAACTAATCTGCCCAAACTCAAACTAAATGACTATCTCTTGCATTTCTTGTTAAACCTATTTCCTTAAACAAAAAACTCAAATACCCAGTGTAAAAACACATGATACAGGAAAATGTAGCAATTGAAGTTCATAATCATAAATAAGCATACTAGTATGAGATGTGACATTAATGTCAATCAAGACACCAGTCGAAACATTAACATGACAAAACATCAAAACTCAAATAGCTATGCATTATAATATAGAATGCAATGCTATGTAAATTCTCTCCCTTACTACAAACTCTCAACATTTTTATGCAGTATTAAAATGTATCCATGTCTTTCCTCAACGACCCTAGATATATGTTTCTCTCTCCCTTCGTATATTCGCTCCCCCCTTTTTGTCATAAATGAGGAATGGACGAATATCAAAATCAATTTGAACATGAATATATAACAACTCAAAACTACAGTTGATAGCATGCACAAGCATAATTAACAATCGATAAACCTTCCCACATACTATCGTATAAGTGACTCATGTGTAAAGTGTCACTAATCCTTACTTAGCAGGAGTCCAAACCTTAATTTTGTGAGAATGGACATGCAAAATATCATTGCCAATAAGTTTATTCTCGTACTTGTAAAAGTCAAACTATTTAAAGCACATTAGGACCTTTAGATAAAGCTCATGTTTCATGTATATTTTCATTTTTCTTTTCTCTCCTAACTTTGAGAATACATTTTTCACATTTTTCTATATTTTCAAAGCTCGTCAATTTTATTTTTTATTTTTACATCTTAAGTGCATGGCCTTCTTCATTAAGTGACTAAGATGATTCCTGTAGCGCTTTAGGCCAATTAACCCAAGTCAGTTGACCATAGACATCAGGTTTTGAGATCCTCGTAGGCTTAATTGGATGAATCAAATAGGCTTCGAAGAAAACATAAGATATTGAGCTTTTTATCATGAGGGGTATACTTGAGCTTAATTCTAATAAATAAGGTCAATTCATGTTCAAAGTCATCTCACTAACATGTGACTACCATCCCAAATTTGACACACGCGATTAAGTCTCACTTACAATATCATAGTGTGTGCATTGCAGATGGTACATAAAGACACCTATATTAAGTATTCTATAGCAACCTAAGCAAGTAATGAAAAATTTGCTATCGCTCATCAATCATGTCAATACTTGGTCACAACACACAAGTTCGTGAATGTTACATATCATGAAGTAAAAAAAATTTCATCCTTCTTTTTTTTCAAATTTTCAAATTTTTTGTTGTTTTTGTTTCTAATACGTGAATGCATCACACACACACACAAAAAAATCGCACATAAAACAAAATAAAATGGGCATGTGCCAATGCAAACACAATGAAAATGCACATGCATGAACTACCTAGAAAACAAATAAGCAAATGTGATGCATACATAAATCAATGGCACACAATGATAAGCATAGACATGCACCAAAATTACATAATCAGATAGGTACCGAAATGTTCTTACCTTTAAGAGCATCATGATCTATTTCAGAATTTTTTAGATCACTCTTTTTCATCCAAATCTGCCTAGTGGGAGAACAATTCTAGACAACTATGTCACCAACTTGGTGAAACGACTTACTTGATCAATAAGTAATCCAATATGACGTACAAACTCCTGATTTTTATTCTTATTTATGCTCTTGTTTCAATGTTTGTTCAGGAATTGATGATAGCTAGGCCTTATGTGTCCTAACTCACCACAACGAAAGCATGTAGGGATAAACCAAGGACCAATGTTTTATGATTGCTGACTCCTAGGTTGATGAGTCCTACATTGTCTAGCATACCTCTATCCTAAAGACCCCTTATTCTTAGGTTCTGGGTTAGGCACATGTTTTGGTTGGTTAGTGGTAGGGACAAAATTGGTCTTTGAAGTACTAACGGTATTATCATTGAAACCTCGACCTCCCTTATTGCCAGCCGGCTTGCTCATTCTTAGAATGTTATCTAACTTTTCAGATCCACTAGAAAAGGCAAGCAGTTGAGACTTGGAATACACTAGATCGCTAATAAGATTTTTGACCTGGATTTCCAAAGTCCCTTTTTTCAGCAGTCAGCTCACTAACTTTCCTACAGTATTTCTCAAGCTCACTTGTGTGATTTTTAACCTGAATGTCTAATGATTTATTCATTGATTGCAATTCACTCAAGGTTAAGATAGATTATTGAAGGTCAACTACATGCTTTTCTCTCTTACAAGTGTGTTTTACTCACGAGTTTAAGCCAATTTTAACTTGATTTTAAGCTAGATTTTACGAGTATTGAACGTCTTTAATGTGTGTGTTAATGTTGTTTTATTGGATTATCGAGATGGTGAAAGATACAAAAACGATAATCAATTAAAGTAAGTGGCATGGATTGAAAACAAGTTGTGGATAAAGGGGCAAAAGAGGCAAAGGAAATCTTTGGACGAGTAGCGCTCCGGAGCTTAAACAGTGGCGCTAAGGCTCCAAAAAGAAACAAGAAAAAGAGCTAGGATGCCACGACGCCACATTTGCAACGCCCAACATTCTAGAACCCTGGCACCACACCGCCAAGGTTTCTAGACAGGTGGCACTACGATGCTACTTTAGGGCACTCCGATGCTTTCTTGACAGCTTTACGGCACAATTTACGCATGTGTTTAAAGTTCAGAAGAAAACCCTACTTTCTACTCATGGCAAGGCACCTATACATAAAAATTTTTTTTTACTTTTGAAGGGTATTCACACATTTAGAGGTAGAAGAACACAATTGGAGAGTCAAAGGACTAATTCAAGGAAGAAAACATCGAGAAATTCATCGTGTAAAGCATTGATTGGAAGATAAAGAAATTCTTGGTGCCAGATCTAATGTTTCTTCTACATCTTTAATACAAAATCCGGTGATGTATTCGAAGACAATCTATGATTTTTCCTTTTTCATTATGAATAGCTAAATTTATTGTTAGGGTGAATAATGTAACCAATTGGGATCCTTTATATTTTTTTATTAAGATTTTTGGTTTTAATTTTTCGATGTGTTGATTTTACTATGGGTTGAATGTTTTAAATTACTTGATCATTAATTTGAAGATTTTTGTGAATCTTTTACGAATAGAGATATGAGTTTAGGATTTAGACCATATAGCAAAATTCAGTAAACTGATATAACGAGTAGAGATATATATACAAATTATTGTGGTCATAATTGAATTCGTAGGACAAAGAACTCTTTGCATAGAGATATGAAATTTAATTAGTTAAATAAGCTCAATGAGAACTCGGGAGGGGTAAATTGAATACAATAGGAGAATTCGACCAAACACTATTTTAGATGTAAATCTTAATTTAAGATGTAAAGCTGACCAATAGGTAAAATTGTTTTGCCCTTACATCATTTTATTATTTGATTTTCAAACCAATCGTGCGTGCATCCATTTATTTTCTAACATTTAGATTAAAACTAAAATCATACTAGTTTTTATCTCATCAAATAGTGGTTAAAGAAAAATTGAATTAAGTGCTCGAGTATAGTCCTCGTAGGATCGACAATTCGGATTCTTAGGTCTACTAACTACTTGTTATGGTCCGTAACTTGTGAAAATAAAATTGACAACAAGTTTTTGGCGGCTTTGCTGGGAACTATTAATTTTGGTCTTAATTTATTTTTATTTTTTTTGTTATTTGATTTATTTATTTTCTTTTATTTACAGAAAAAAGATGTTCGTTGCATGCTCCATACCCAAGGCAACGATCTAGAACCGTTTGATTAGAAAATAGAACGTACCTTCAGACGAAGATACAGGAAACACAAACAAAAATAGCAACATCAAATGGATGATAATCTAAACAACCCTATCCCTATACAGCCAATTGCACAAATGGCCAGGAGAGGTCAACAGCAATAGCAAAGGAAAGTAAATGAAGGAGACTTTCCAGTATCAATGTTCTTGATGCTTATAGTAGCATCTGCACGGTCCAGTGTTGTGTATCTGAATTTTGGGGTCAACAACTTCCAGATAAGGGCTGACTGGATTAATTTGATGAGCAACACTCTGCAATTCTATGGGCTACCTCATGAGAATCTAAATACACACATCTACAGATTTCTCAAGAATTGTCAGAATTATAATGCTCCTGGGGTTAATAAGGACATCATCAAACTACAATTATTCCCGTATACACTGAGAGATGCTAAACCTAATGGAAGTATTACCACATGTGAGGAGCTGATGAGGAAATTCTGCAATAAGTTCTTTCCACCGGCTAAGGTAGCGAAAATCAGACTAAAAATTCAAACCTTCAAACAAAGAGATACGGAAAGCTATCACGAAGCATGAAATAGATTTAAGGAGTTGATGAGAAAATATCCAAATCACAAGATCACTATTGGAAATCAAGTTCAATATTTCTACATAGGACTTTTACCACCGTCCAAATCTCCAGTGAATTCCTCTGAAGGCGATTGATTATAGGAAAATTAGTGCAATAATGTATGGATCTACTTAAGTTGATTGCCACTATTCATTCCATGTTTTCATCAAAAGAGTGGTGCCTCCAAAAGCAGTGGAAATGTATGAATTAGATAGCACAGCATCTATCAACGCCCAAATAGCAGCATTAACAAAACAGGTAGATTTATTGGTGAAGTTACAAATAAAAGAAGCACATGCAGTGATACCTAGTCCATCAAGTGAAAACGGTGGGGCTAATCATCTGACAGAAAACTGCACATCTATGGGCTTTCAGAGGAACAAGTCAACTTCATTCTGAATTGCTCTCGAAATTTTAATCTATTTGCTCAAACATACAACCCAGGATGAAGAAAACACCCGAACTTTAGATGGTTGATAATTAGCAAGGGAACAGTTCAAACAACGCCGTGAGAAAAAAATAAAGTTTGGGAGAGAAGTTCAACCAGCACATGTAGAAGATAGACACAGTGTTCTAGTAAATTGACACTAACTTTCAGAATCAACAAGCATCCATCAAGAAACTGGAAACACAAATTGATCAGATAGCTTAACAAATTGCAAAACACCTGCAAGGGACTTTGCCAGACAACACAATGGTCAATCCTAAAGAACAAGTCCAAGCTATTGTAACTAGAAGTGGAGTACAACTTCCAAATATACATGTGAAGAGACCAGAAAGAAAAGAGAAAGAGGTAATTGTTGAAGAAGCAAATCAAGAAAAAGAGTACCAAGCATCAATGAGGAAGAAGAGCGGAAAGAAACATCCACAGTTAGAGCACAAAGCACCATGAAAGCTTATGTGCCACCAATTTCCTTTACTCAAAGGCTATAGAGAAAGAAGTTGGACAAGTAGTTTGCCAAGTTTGTGGAGATTTTTAAGAAGCTGCACATAAATATCCCATTTGTAGATGCAATAGCCCAAATGCCAGCTATGCAAAATTCTTGAAGGAGATCCTATCTAACAAAAGGAAGCTGGAAGAACACTAGACTGCCTGCCTTAACGAAGAGTGCAGTGCAATTCTCTTGAAAAAGCTACCTCGTAAACTAAAGGACCCAGAGAGTTTTACGATGCCTTGCACAATTGGTTCTAATTATTTTGAGCATTCTTTATGTGATTTAGGTGCCAGTGTTAATTTGATGCCGCTCTCTGTTTATAGGTCTCTTAAATTGGAAGAAGCAAAGCTTACAACAATGTCCTTCCAGCTGGCTGACAGATTAATCAAATAATCGAAGGGGATTATTGAAGGTGCGCTAGTCAAGGTTGATAAGTTTATCTTTCCAGCTGATTTCATCGTTCTGGCTATCGAAGAGAATTCAAACATCCCTCTCATCTTGGAAAGACCCTTCTTGACTATCGGAAGAGCGCTAATAGATGTTTACGATGGAAAGATGATTCTTCAGGTGGTCAATGAGCAAGTCACATTCAACGTGTTCAAGGCAATGAAACATCCATTGACTTTAGACACCTTTTACCAAGTGGATGTTCTTAAAGAGCTTGTGGCAGATACATTTGAGGCAGATCATCAAACAATTCTATGTGAGTAGAAGTTACACACTCGGAGACAGCAAGTGTAGGAAAAACTAAATGTGTTATCAACTTGGCCGAACAACCAATAGAAAAAGAGACATTGGCAGTATGATTCTCTTGGTGACAACCTTTCACCCTCAGTACCCTGAGTGGAAAATGCTTCCACTCTTGAACTAAAGCCCTTGCCATCACATCTCCATTATGCATATTTGGGAAACTTTACAATACTTCCAGTAATCATCGTGAAATATATGATAAAGGAAGAGGAGAATAAATTATTAGAGGTACTCAAGAAGCACAAAACGATAATTGGATGGACAATAGCTGACATTAGAGGAATCAGTCCGACTCTTCGCACACACAAGAATTTAATGAAGGATTGGTAAAAGCCATCAGTGGAAGGGAATGTAGATTGAATCCCACATTGAAAGAAGTAGTGCAAAAAGAAGTATTGAAATTGCTGGATGTAGAGATAATCTACCCTATATCAGATTGCTCATGGGTAAGTCTAGTACATGTGCCTAAAAAGGGTGGAATCACAGTGAAAAAGACCATTTTTCCATTGCCTTTCATTGATTAGATGTTGGAGAGGTTGGTAGGTCATTCTCATTACTGCTTTCTGGACGAATATTCAGGGTACAATTAGATAGTTATTGCTCCAGAAGACCAAGAAAAAAAGCTTTCACATGCCTTTACAAAACTTTTACATTTAGAAGGATGCCTTTCGGTCGATGCAATGCAACTGCAAACTTTTAATGGTGTATGATGGCCATATTTTCTGACATGGTAAAAAGTACATCGAGGTTTTCATGGATGATTTTTTTACATTTGGAGATTTCTTAGATGACTGTTTGGATCATCTTTCTCTCATGTTGCAAAGCTGTGAAGAGAAGAACCTGGTGCTAAGTTGGGAAAAATGTCATTTCATGGTAAAAGAGGGAATAGTACTGGGACATAGAATTATTGCAATGTGTATTGAGGTGGCAAAGCCAAGATACAGATGATTGAGAAATTGTAGCCACCTAATTCAGTACAGGTTATCAGAAGTTTTCTAGGACATACAAGGTTTTACAGAAGATTTATTCAAAACTTTTCAAAGATTACTAAACCGTTGTGCAGTCGTTGGAGAAAGATGTGCCATTTAATTTTTTTATGAGTGTTTAGAAGCCTTTAACACTTTGAAGGAAAAATTGACATCGGGCACAAGATTCAGACTACCTTTTGAGCTCATGTATAACGCCAGTGATTTTGCAGTGAGGGTAGTGGTAGAGAAAAGCAAAGGAAAAGTATTGCATGCTATCTACTATGCTAGCAAAACATTGACAGTTGCTCAAATCAATTATGCAACAACTGAAAAGGAGATGCTCGCAGTGGTTTTTGTGTTTGGCAAATTTCATTCATATTTGATTGGTTCAAAGGTGATAGTCTATACAGACCATATGACTTCGAAGTATTTGTTTGGGAAGAAAGATGCGAGACCAAGGCTGATTCGATGGGTTCTGTTGCTAAAAGAGTTTGACGTCGAAATTCATGATAAAAAAGGAATGGAAAATTATGTAGCTGATCAGTTATCGAGGTTAAAGCAATAACATGAGTCAGATGAGGTGGACATCAATGAGATATTTCCAGACAAGCAATTATTACAAGTGGACAAAGCACCGTGGTCTACAGACATCATCAATTACTTAGTAAATGGCTATGTAGATCTAGACCTTACCTACCATAAGAAGAAGAAGCTGCTACATGAAGCCAAGTTCTATTATTGGGATGATCTAAACTTATATAGAAGGGGGTGGACCAACTTATCAAGAGATGTATTCCAGAGGATGAGATGAAATCTATCATTTCAAGGGTTCGTGCTTCAGTATACGGAGGGCACTTTGGCCCTACTAAAACCGTAGCAAATGTGCTTTAGTGCTAGTTTTATTTGCCAACACTGTTTAAGGACTGCCACATTTTTTGTAGGTCGTGTGATAAGTGTCAGAAAACTAGTAATATATCAACTCATCGCGAGATGTCCCTAAACAATATTCTAGAGGTGGAAATATTTGATGTATAGAGAGTTCATTTTATGGGACCTTTCCCTTCGTCCTATAATAATTGATGTATATTAGCAGTAGTGGATTATGTCTCCAAGTGGGTGGAAGCCAAGGCGTTGCCCACCAATGATGCAAGGGTAGTAGTGGATTTTATAAAGAAACATATCTTCAACCGCTATGGATTCCCAAGAGCCATAATAAGTGATGGTGGGACTCATTTTCACAATCTGACTATTTCAGGTTGTACTTCATAAGTACAGGATACAACATCGAATTGCCACTCCCTACAATCTTCTAACAAGTGGACATGTAGAAACTTCTAACAGACAATTGAAAGGAATTCGAGAGCCCACTATGAATGCATCTCGAAAGGATTAGTCAAAGAAATTGGATGATACTTTATAGGCATATCGCATAGCGTACAAGACACCTATTGGAATATCCCTATATCGACTAGTCTTTGAAAAAGTGTGTCACCTATCAGTGGAGTTTGAACATAAAACGTACTAGGCATTGAAGTAGTTGAACATGGACCTCAAAAAGGCTGAGGAACCAAGAATTCTACAATTGCATGAATTGGAAGAATTTGGTACAAGACCTATGAGGACTTCTTAATGCTATGAGCTACTTTAGTTAGATTAGATAGAGAAAGGAAGAGCTTCGGGATGCTCGTACATTCAAGAATGACGAGCAAAAGGACGCCATAAGGAGGAGAGTAGCTTACGAAAATGCATCTATCTAAAATGAAATGACAAAGCAGTGGCATGATAAAAATAATCGGCAACGAATTTTTAGATTGGGAGATCAAGTACTATTGTGTAATTCTGAGATTAAACTCTTCCCAGGAAAGTTGAAATCCAAATGTTTCGACCCTTTTACGGTTGCTCAAGTATTTCCCTATGGCACAGTTGAATTGCACCATCTAACAAAGGAAAACTTCTACTCATATAGTACACAATTCCACCGAAAAGAAATCCAAGGCCTCCGTATCCTCAGCTAGCTCCTTTGACACCAGCAAATTTGTGAGATGACGCAGAACGCAGATACCATGACATGGTAGCAAACAAGAACTGTATTCCAAAGAGGGGCTTTGATGATCTGGAGCCTTATATGCAGGAACTAATTAACGAAAGAAATTGGGAGCGGTTTACAAGACAACCACAACCAGGATTGATACCAGTGTGTGGGAATTTTATGCCAATGCTAAGGAGCACTGGGACTTAAAAGTATATGTCCGTGGAAAGTGGATCCACTTTGACCAAACCACAATTAATCGGTACTATGGATTGCCAGATATCAACGAGGATGACTTTTTTAGACCGCATGACGAAGGGATAATTGATCCGATCGATATAACTAGAAAGTTAGCCCACCCTGATGTCACATGGAAATGATCAAGCTCTGATGTCACCAACTTTCTAGCTGTGGGTATGTTCTCGGAATGCAAGGCTTAGGACTATTTCATTTGTGGTAAAATTTTGGCCAGTAGCAATATCAATGAGGTGACCAAGGTGGGGCTCTATTAAATTATGTTATTTAGCGAGGAGTAAGCATGGATGTGGGTATGGTTATTCAAACCAACTTCTTGTGGTTAGTATTAGGATCTACGACTACTAGTTTAGGTTATCCTTCCTTGATATATGCTCTGTGTAGGAGAGGAGGAATTGCGACTTCTCCAACTGAGGAGATAGTTCAACCTCAACCCGCCATGATTAAGAAGCTGATTTGGCAATTTCAGGTTACAGAAGCTCAGCTATCTCAACCTTGTGATCCTCTGCCTGCTAGCTCCCATATCGATGACATTACTGGGGGGATTGAGGCTTTGCAGTCAGCTGACCGAAAGATATGATGAATTGGAATCACAGAATCAAAAAAGATATGATGGACTTTAGCATCATTTGGATCAGTTGCAGGCTTCTATGAACAATCAATATCAGCAGTTACATGACTCTATGTATACCCGGTATCAGTACCCGAATGAGTT